CTCGGATAATTTTAACTTAAAACATGACATGATCGGCACGGCTTCTCGCACGGCCTTAACAACAAAGGACACGCATGCACGCCTAAACGGAAAATCGAACTCAATAAACGTATTAATCTCAGCCTACAACGACAGGGAGTTTACCTCCGATTATGTTCAACTAACGGCAACACTTCGGACTCTCGTGTTCGCGTGGCCCTCCGCTTGCGTGCATCGTCGTGTGATGCGATCGCGTGCGATAGCTAGTTGTGCGCGATACTCTCGGTGCGACTAACCGTGCGTGTGTACTGACTGCCGTGCGGTACTGCGGCTACGCGCGGAGTTGCTGACTAGCTTGCGGTGCTATTTGGATAATTTATGGACAACTCTTATAATTCCTCACAAACTCACTTAACCTTTCGGAATTTAGAACTTAAGGTAAAGAAATGGGATGAAATTTTCCAAACTTTCCCCCTTTTTATACTACATGGCCGAGAGGTGTGACATGATGATGGTTTTGGAGATTAATCCTCCTTAAGACACTTGGAGCATGCATAATAATGCTTAGGTGACTAAGCACCATTTTACTAAGGAAAATGCCACGTTAAGCTGCTTAGAAATGAAGGAAAAATTTTGGATAAAACCATACATTTCCCACTTAAAAGTGTACGGCTTATTTGGAGTTTAAATGGAAGAATTTTCATGCATTAAAACTTAGAATTGCCCACGGCATTAAGCTTCTTAAGCTTAATTAATTATTCATTAATCATCACTTTATGCTTAATTAACTATAAAGCATAATACTTAATTACCGAAAATATTCCGAACGTAAACGGAACGTTGAAAATAATTTCCGGTAATCTCGACTGAACTGACTGATAATAATTAATTCCGAAAACTAATAGCGGAACTAATAATATAATTTATACTGATAAACTGATGGGATATTACAGGCCAAGTCGTTCTTCTCCCTCCACTTGTCAAGCGTGTTCAAACTGGATATCATCCAATTGGGTATGTACCGGCTTCCATGGAGTATAAAGCGGTTATCTTTTGGCCAGCTTCAGTAATCGAAAAGAGGATGTATTGTTATATATTAAATGTTGGAGTTGATAAATCATCGAGGAAAGTTGAATATGAGTCCACAACACCATTGCGAATGCATCACTTTATGATTTCTGAAGGTTTCATGCATTGGACTCATCCCCCTACCAACCAAGTCTTGACTGTGAATCTGGAGACTGAAACTTTTATAGAGACCCCTGGCCCTATCCCTGTAGCTGGAACTGGGAATGTAAACAATATTTACCTGTCGACTGGAAGGTATCTGTCGTTATTGCGTCGTTCTGGGGATTATTCGTGGGAGATTTGGGAGATTAGTCGACCCGAAAGGGGGGAATGGAGAAAGAAGGCAGATTTTTCACTGGAGGCTCACAAGGGAAGATTCAAACAATTAGGTCTCCGACATGATGATAAGTTTTTAATCCCAGTTGGGTGGGTCAAGTATCCAGAGTTGTTGGCCCTGAAATCTGATGACGAGAAGCACCGTGCTGTTATTTTTTTATACAATCTTGTTACACAAGAATTCGATAAAATCGAGTTACCTTTCTACTTTCCAATGTGCAATATTATGGTGCATAAGAGTAGTTTGGAGTGGTTGGATGCTGCAGTGTAACCTCCCCCCTCCATCATCTCCATTGCTTCACCGGTATTTAACTAATTATACTTTTTGTTCTACCTTTTCTAATGTATTCGAATATGTACTGTTAGGATATTTTACTATTATAAGCCATGAAAAGATTCTATTCAGTTGCTTTTGTTCTCCTTTCTTGGACCAATTCCATTATTACATTCCATGTGTAACGCGCCGTTTATTTAGGAGAAGCATAGCATGTTCATATGCATGTTCATATTTGAATTTTCTTAGCTGTGTTTTATGACTAAGTGTTAAGTGTTTAAGTTGTTTGCCTAAGTGATTATTTGTCTAAGTTGTCCTAAGCTAAGAGCTCGGCCAATTCAACCCCTTTGTCGGCCATGTTCCAATAAAAACCAAGCCCAACTAAGCTAAGGAGCTAAGCATAAGTATCTAGCAAGCTCGGCCTCCCTAATTTTCCGAAGTAGAACTCGGCCCCAAACACTTTCTAATCCAAGTAAAAGTCGAGTCAAGACCAGGTCCCAAACTACCCTAACAACCTCCATCATTTTCGGACTTCTCAACCCAGCACCTTAGCAAGCTCGGTCAGCAACCACCTGCTACTTTTCTCGGCAGCCACAGCTCTAATCACCATGAGACCAACCTCACAGAGCACAAGCCAAGAGAATCAACAATATCAGCCCAATAGTACATCTATTCAGCCATTGCCTGAAAACTTTTATAGGACATGTGCAATAAAGTTGTGATTTGTGATTGCACCATGTGTAGCTTGGTTTACAACATTTCACATCATGCGATCAAGGATTTGGCCCCGCTTCAAGGTCCATCTCGTATACTCTCTAGTCTCGCTCGAAAAACCGGAATTCATGCATGTAAAAACATAAGTATATATTCTACTTTCATCTTCATAGAGCTTAGTTAAAAATTAGCTATAGTAACTAATTTTTTTGTTCCGTCCGGATCTTTTGAGAACATAGATTCTTTTTTCTTTTTATTGTGGAAAATGTTTAATTCAATATTTTTTTTTAAAATAAAAAAAAAACATTTTTTTTTTCATTTTTTTGGATAGTGTTTTAAATTTGATTTCAATATCATTAGTTACAAATTTCCAAACACGTAACTTGTAAGTCTTCACTTTTTTTTTTTTGTTATAATTTTGTAATGTTTATATCATCTTACCACTTTTCTTATTTTTTTTTTTTTCCTTTTTTCCGCTTTTAATTTCTTTAATATGTTGAAAATTCTTTATCCTATATTTATGTTTATCTATTAGTTGGAATCTTTATCAAGTTTTGAAATTTTGCATGTCTTTATTAGACTGTATTTATGTTCATCAATTAATAAAACTATTAATTTATAAGCTTGAACCATTAGAATTCAAAACACAAGTTTGGACAAATCTGTTACTGTAAAAATAAAAAAAAATAATAATAGAGATTTACTTGAAATAGCATGTAAATTCCTGCCTAAATTTTATATTTTACTATCTGGTAATTAAAAAAAAAAAAAAAATCGTT